CAAAAGTAAGATGTTTACTAAATTGTGTGGGATGCATATATCCTCTGTATGTAAAGTTTTGCTAGATCACCATTCACAAGCATAGTTGTTAAAGTTGTGGGTTATACTTTTTATTGAAATCCGATGAAGAGGGAACTAAATTTCATAGCGTGAAGTGGTATATGGAATCACCTGAGGAGCAAATATGTAAGCTAAAGTCCCAAAAACAGCGCCTCCAAGAATAAAACCAGCAAAGAAATCGCCACCTCCTCCTCTATTACCATCACTGCAGATAATTAAAATAAAGAAGAAACCTATTAGTAGAGAGCAGTGTTTTAATATTTTACAAAGAAAATCATTTGCAAGTTTTTTTGTTATTTTATTTTTTTGCATTATTTAATATTTTACAAAGTAGTAGAGAGCAGTGTAACATGTTGTGTGTTGCAATAACATTAAGCAAATGCAATAGCATAGTCAATAATAAGGGAAACCATTACTAATAGTCATAATCTGAAATGAAGGCAAATAGCCATTTGACTGTTTTTCGCCCTTTTGGTTAAGAAACGGAAACAATTTTCTTCAACCAACCATAAAAAAGCAACATGCTTCTTCTTTTTTTTTTTTTTGTTCCTAAAAAAAATCCATACTATAAAGGCCTCACCCTCAAAGCATAAATAATATATATATATATATATATATTTTTTTTTTTTTGCAATTTTAGAGCCAGTTTAATTCCTTATTATTCTGCAGTGTGGCATCATATATTATTCATCCGTGTTTCTTATCCCCAAAAACGACAACAGCAAGCTTTCATAGCATAGAAAATTATGTCGTTTAACCAGAATGACTTACCGGTATTCTGCACGAACTGAGAAAGTGCGGGTGGTTTTCAATTGACTCGATTTCCTTTGAATTGCGAGCTTTGGGGTTTTCACCAATGCATTCGACTTGCCTGAACAAAGCTCACGCCTTTTCAGCTGAGATCCGCCTATACACACACACACAAACACATATATACATATTTAAATAAGTAAATATCAAATCAAAACAGTATTGAAATTAAGAAATTTATCATAGAATAATACAACAATCCTGTTTTCCAAATCCTAAATTGAGAGTAAGAACAACCTCGTCCTTTTCCATATTGTTATTAATTTTCTTCAATTGCAAAACCTACAAATTCAAATTGGCATGCGTAAAGTTTCTCTAATGAATTCTATGATCTGGTGTCGAATCACGAGCTTCTCAGGAAGAAATGAAAAAATAATGAGCAAAAGGAAATTTAAATAAACAATGAAAGAGCGAGAGGAAGAAGTTTACCAGAGAAGGACAAAGGAGGAGCAAAGCAGGTCGCCATTAGAATGGAATGGTTGACGAAGCAATTTACCAGAAGAAGGAGATCTAAAATGAGAGACGAAGACGAGAAGGGAAACTGGAGCAATTTACGAAGTAGAAACAAACAAAAGAGACCCATTTATTACTTTTTCTTAAAAATATTTTTAGTCCCTAAACTATAAGTTAAATATCATTTTGCTCCATATCTTTTAAAATATCTCAGGATGAGTCCTTAAAAAATATCTCAGTATGAGTCCTTAATATATCAAATTGTTTCAAACTAATCTTTTCGTCCTTACAACTGTTAAAAATCTCAACAGAAAAGACATTAGTTACGTTCTAGAAAGTTGTTTCCGTTAAAGATTACAAAATTAAATCTCACTAAATTACATATAATGCTCACGCTCTAAGGAATATTTTGAGACAATTTAATAAATTGAAAACTCATTATAGGACATTTTAAAAATCAGGGACAAAAATGAAATTTAATGTACAGTTTAACCTAGTCTTAATCATGATTTTGATATTTTTTAAGTACTTGATAAGTTTGCTGATACTGTGCTTTTAAGTTAAATTATACAATATGGTATGATACATAATTCATTTCATATTGAATAATAATATGTATTGTATTGATTCTAGACGTTGTATTTAAATTCTATGGTGTACGAATATTAAAAAACACTGCAATATTTTGAAATAATATAGTACGAATACTATTACGATAAAAGAAAAGAAAAAAAAAATATATATTAGATCAAAATCTCACGGTCAAGAAGATGTTTGTCCCTTTAATTAGTATAAGATTGGAGAGTGTTAATGAATTTTTTGAGTTACAATGAGACCCACCTTCTTATTCGAAAAAAATGGTCATGAAACCCAACAAATCATGATATGAAGCTCTAACCCAATAACAATAGTTCCATCCTCTAATAGAATGTGTAATCATTAGTAGCTTGGAGATTATTTTTCATTAGCGAAAGGATGATGATAGTTGTAGTGATAGAAGAAGGTGCAGAAAATTTTAATGAGAATTTAAAAAAAAAAAAAAGAATTTAATTGGTGTTTGAAAAAAAAAAAAAAAAAGAAAAGGTTGAAGAGTACAGAAGAGAAAATAGTTGATAAATAGGGGCCAAATCTCATACGCTATATCAATAATAAACCATTATTTTTCACCACTAATTATCAAGTTAAAGAGGCATTTTTACTTGCTCTATCAGTGGAGTAAAAATGTCTGTCCCACCATAAATATTTTCGCTTTATCAGATGATTATTACTGTCTAATCATCTTTAAATTCCCAATCAAAATTACGAAGCAATAGCTAAATTTGAACAATCTGACAAAATTCGTATATTTTAGATATTGTTTACACCACTTAGTCCTAACATTTTTCAAATTGCATATCAATCATTCACATCCTTCAGTTTCATTTAGTTAGTAAAGAAAATAAGTGCAATGCTTCACTTTCATTTAATTTAAGTACTGCAGAACTTCACGAACTTCATGATAGTTTTCTTTATTGAAATTGAACATAATTGGAATTGACAAGAAAGAAAAAAACAGATAAGAAGAATTCGAGGTTGCTCTGCCTTCTAGACTCAAACTCAACTCTCAAATACAATACCCTTTCTTCTCTGTACGAGCTCTCCTATATAGCCATTTATCACTCATGGTATTCTCCATGCATAACCAATTCCTAACAGAAGGCCTGACCCCAGCGCGAAGCCCAATAGAAATGCCGGGTCAGCCACTATCCCCACTTACAACGTCTCCTCATGAGAATTAGATATTCCCCCCCACTTCAAGACCAACTTTGTCCCCAAGGTTGAAGTTGGGAAATTGGGTTTGAATGGTGAAAACGGGCTCTCATGTGGCATCCCAGCTCGGCAGACTTTCCCATTGAATTAACACCTCGGGTACCTGTTTGCCACCCACCGATCGAGCTCGGGAATCCAGTACGGCCGACAGTTGAACCACCAATTCCAACTCGTCCGACAAGTTAGGGGGGAACGGTTGGTCAGATACCGCAAGCCCCCGATACGGCTTCAGTTGAGAAACGTGAAAGACATGATGGATCTTCGTTGTTGGAGGAAGCTTAAGGCGATAAGCAACGGGGCCAATCTGATCCACAACTTCAAATGGGCCATAGTAATGTGGACTAAGTTTCTCATTAGCTCTACGGGCTAAGGACTTCATGAAGTAAGGGCGTAACTGTAACAACACCTGATCTCCAATGGTGAAAGTGACGTCCCGGCGATGAAGATCTGTAAATTTCTTCATCCGCTGCCGTGCCAACATGAGGTGTTCCTTCAAAAGGTCAAGCGTCTGATTCCGCATCCGCAGCTGTTCCTCGACCCATTGCACTACTGCGGAGCCCTCCTAGTAGCGGTGCAAGGTAGGCAGATGCCTTCCATAAACTATGAAGAACGGGGTGTACTTCGTTGAGGAACTATAATTGGTATTAAACTAATATTCGGCCCAGGGTAGAAAAGCCTGTCATTGCCAGGGTTTGTCATTAGCGAAGTACCGTAAGTATGTCTCAAGGCAGCGATTAGTGACTTCCGTTTGTCCATCAGATTGCGGGTGATAAGCGGAACTAGTAGGCAATTTGGTGCCCTGCAGCTTGAATATTTCCATCCAGAAAAGGCTCATGAACAGCGGGTCGCGGTCACTCACAATAGACTTGGGCACTTCATGTAGGCGGATGATTTCCTTGACGAAAATCTTGGCAACCTGTTTGACGGTGAATGGGTGGGCAAGGGAGCAGAAGTGAGCATACTTGGACAAACGATCCACCACGACAAGGATGGTGTCAGTCCCCTTAGACTTTGGCAAGCCACTAATAAAATTCATGAAGATGTCTTCCCAGACACGTTGTGACACCGGCATGGGAGTTAGCAGTCATGCTGGAGAGAGAGCGTCAGTTTTGCATTGCTGGCACGTGTCACAGCGTGCCACATACTCCCGAATTACCTTTTGCATGCCCTTCCAAAAAACTACCGTTGCCAAACGCTTGTAGGTGCGAAGAAAGACGGAATGTCCACCAATGACCGAGTTATGGAACTCGTGAAGGAGGCTCAGCACCCACGGAGATTAAGCCTGAATAACTAAATGAGTTTTAAACAGGAGCAACCCGTTTTGGATGCTGTAGCCAGGAACCGACCCTGCATCAGCTTGTATGTTGGGCATCACTGCTGCACAGTGGGAATCCCCGGATTGTTCCTGGCGAAGGGCGTCAAGGTCAAGTTGCTGGGGAATAGAACTTGCGGTGAAGGTGGCGACGTCATGCTCTTCTCTCCGGGACAAAGCATCAGCCACTCGATTGGCAGCTCCGGGCTTGTATTGGATCTCAAAGTCATATCTGAAGAGTTTGGTTACCAACTGGAGTTGATCGGGTGCCAACACTCGCTGGTCCATGAGGTGACGGAGGCTCTGCTGGTCGGTGTGGATGACAAAATGGCATCCTAGGAGGTAGTGCCGCCACTTTTGAACTGTGAGAATAATGGCCAGCAGTTCCTTCTCATAAACAGACTTCCAACGTGCAGCCAGAGAAAGTCCCATGCTAAAATAGGCCAGAGGCATCAGTTTTTGGAGGCATTAGTTTCTAAGACAAAAGCTTTCCCAAATCGGGCAAGGCAAGAACTAGAAGTTATGCCATCAAAACCTTCAGTTTTTGAAATGCATCATCGGCTAGTTGGGACCACCGCTATGCTCATTTCTTAAGTAAGTCAGTCAAGGGTCGAGTGAGCACACCGTATCCTTCCACAAATCAACGGTAATAGTCGGTCAAGCCGAGAAATCCCCGGAGCTCCCTTACCAATCGTGGGGTGGGCCAGGAAGTGATGGCTTGCACTTTCGAAGGGTCAACAGCAATCCCCTCATTTGAAATGATGTGGCCGAGGTAGTCCACCAGCTCACCGCCAAAGATACATTTCTTTTGATTGGCATACAACTATTCCTGGTGCAACGTCTGCAGGACCAACTCCAAGTGCCGAATATGCTCTGCCCTCGATCGGCTGTAAATTAAAATATCGTCAAAGAAAACTAACACAAATTTACACAGAAAAGGTAAGAATACCGTGTTCATTAAGGATTGAAAGGTGGCGGGGGCGTTAATGAGCCCGAAGGGCATGAAGAGGAACTTGTAGTGCCCTTCATGGGTTCGAAAAGCTGTTTTCTCCACGTCTTCCTCCCGCACACGAATTTGGTGGTACCCCGAACGGAGGTCAAGCTTGGAAAATATACTGGCCCCCTGTAGTTCATCTATCAACTCATCAATTATAAGGATGGGAAACTTATCCGAGATCGTTAACTGGTTTACCGCTTGATAATCCACGCAAAACCGCCAACTGCCATCCTTCTTTTTGACTAGCAAAACAAGGCTTGGAAACGAGCTGGTACTCGGTCGGATTATTCCTGAAGCTAACATCTCACCGACTAGACGCTCTATCTCTGCCTTCTGGATATGGGAGAATCTATAGGGCCTGATGTTAGGAGGAGAAACCCCTTCTCGTAAAATGATATGATGTTCACGAGTGCGGAGCGGAGGAAGTCCCTCAGCCAGTTTAAAAACTAACTTGAATTGGTACAAAAGTTCAGCTAACTCATGTCGTGTCACGGCAGCCAAGGGGCCATGTTCCTCGGTAGCTGCCACCCCAATCTCGAGTAACACCCCGGAATGCTCGCACAGTAAAGAACGAAAAATAGAGCATACACTAACCTTAGTACAACATAACGCGGGATCACCCTGCACGCATACCCATTGATTTCCTGCCAAGAACTTCAGTGTGAAACAAGTCCAGTCGGCTCGTAACTGCCCTAACGTTTTGAGCCACGTAACTCTAAGCACCAAATCCACGTTTCCCAACTCGAAAGGGAAAAAATTTTCAATCACTCGGTGCCCCTAGATCAGCACATGCACCGACCGGCATACCCCTTCTTGTTTCAAGATCATCCCATTTCCTACCTGAATCTTGTGTCGGACAGTCAAGTCTCAGGATAAGCTCAATTTGTTCACCAATGCAGAAGAGATAAAGATGTGGGACGCTCCGCTGTCGACGAGGATGATGACCTCCCTCTCGTTAATCGTTCTTTTGACCTTCAACGTCTTTGCCAAAGAGCAACCGTTGAAGGAGTTGAGTGACAGAGCCGTCGAGCTCCCAGGGTCGTGCATCCCCTCATCCGTGGCCGTCTCCTCTTTACACTCATCCTCCGAATCTTCGTTTGCCAACATCAACACCTGCAATGATCGATTCTTGCAGCGGTGCCCCGGGCTATACTTCTCGTCACACCTGAAACAAAGTCCGCGAGCTTTGCGCTGCTGTACTTCGTCAAAGGTCAAATGTTAGAATCCGGACTCACCGCTGGTAGGGGGCTTAGATTTTGAGGTCGCTGCTATGAGCCCCTTCTAATGGCCATTGGGGTCTCGACCTAATTGGGATTGAAGGGAGCTGTCTCTTACATCGGGAGTGTTAAATTGGGGGTAAAGGCTTGTGCCGGGTCGACCTGAATACTCGGGTCTGGAGACCCGCCCCACCTTGTTCTTCCTGACTCGGTCCACACCCTCCAAACGGTCCTCTACCTGTTGGGCCAAGTCCATTGACTCTAACAAGTTAACGGGCCGATGCATCTTTACCTCAGCCAGTGTGTCTTCCCGTAGCCCATTCAGAAAGGCCCTTTGGAAATGGGCTCGGGCACGCCTCTCATGGAGGCAGCTAGTGCCTCAAAGGTGTCTCGGTAGTCTGCCACTCCTCTGGTCTGTCTGAGTGCCATCAACCTCTCCGTCAAGTCTCCTTCCCGAGCGCGGCTAAAACGTTGGATGATGGTCGTCCGGAGTTCTCTCGAACTGGCAAAAGGGTCCTGAGCATCAACCCACTAGAACCACCCTAGAGCCCTTCCTTCCATGCAAACGGAGGCCGCCAAGATCCGTTCCTTGTCCTCTATGTCGTTCACGGTGAAGTAGCGCTCGGCTCTGAACACCCAGCCATACGGATCTTCACCATGGAAGACTGGGAGCTCCAGTTTCTTCCCACGAAAATCTCCGTGTCCCCTTTGTCGTCCCAGTGAGACTTGGCGCTGTACTCTCACTCCTTCCCCTTGTCAGACCAGTGAGCCTTCTCGAGGAACCGCCCGTCCCCTTGCCGGTTCCCTCTCTGGATGCAGCCTATCAAAAAGCCGAGCCTGCCTCTGCAACATCTCCTCAATTCTTAGCACCGATCCTTGCATCTCTCCAACTCTGGTGTCTAGCCGAGTAACATCTTCTTGCAGCTGGGGAACTCGGTTAGCTATGGCTCCTACTATCTAAAGCGTGTCGTGTACATCTTCTATCCGTTGCTCCACCATGGCTACTCGATTTGCAACGCGCGGATCATGGTGAGTAGTGGCCATGGGATCAGTGGCTCTGATACCAGTGATAGAACCCCATGAACTTCTGGGTAGTTTTCTTTATGGAAATTGAACATAATTAGAATTGACAAGAAAGAAAAATACATATAGGAGGAATTTGAGGTTCCTCTGCCTCCCAGACTCAAACTCAGATCTCAAATACAATACCCTCCCTTCTCTCTATGAGCTCTCCTGTATAGCCATTTATCACTCATGGTATTCTTCATACATAACTAAATCCTAACAGAAGGCTTGACCCCAGCGCGAAACCCAATAAAAATGCCACGTCAACCACTACCCCCACTTACAACATCTCCTCCTGAGAATTAGATATTCCCCCTTTGCTCCTCCTAGAGTACACGAATTTGATGGGAGGGACTCGGGCTCTAACAAGTATGGTACAATATTAAGTGCAAAGTAAATAAAAAACTTGAATCAATACTTAAAGGGAAAATGTGAATTGCAATATCTCATTCGTTGGCTGTTTTTAATTATTCAAGGGACAACGGTAAAAATCAGTGAAGGGAAATTATAAAAAGGCATGGAAAGCCAGCACTTACTAGTGAAACAAACGAAACAAGATTTAAAACAAAATGTGAGTGCCCTCCTTTGGAAATTATGCCGGCTTTCATTCTCTTTATATACAAACAGTCGTGACAATGCACTCCCAAAAAAAAAAAAAAACCTACGATTATAAAAAGAAAAAAGAAAGAAGAAACAAAAAGTAGATGTAAAGAAAAATTATTAGTAAATTTTGTATGGGATATGAACAGATGGAAACTGGGACCTCCTATAAACGCCCAAGACAAAGGTCATCATGTGAAGCATGGCAATGTACATAATAAAGCAAAGCACGAGTTTTTAAGTTTGGTCCTCCCTATATTTGTCTGACAAGCTCCCAAAAAGGAGGAGTGACGTATTCACACGGTGCCTTTCTGGCCGGAGCTGCTCCGATTTCAAAGCAGGTTTAACGGGTTCATCGTTTCCCGGGAATGGCGGGAACGAAAGTGAGAGTGAAAGGGAAGCGGAATCATCATCATCATCCTGTTTATCATCTACTGCTTTATCTAGAGGCTTCTCCTGGTTATTTTTCTTGTCCGCTAACCCAACAAGGAAAGGCAGGATTCCCTTACTTTGTTGTTTCTTAGTCTCTGCCCCTAAGGCAAGTTCCAGATTTGGAGACCCATCAAGAAGCCGGTCGTCATCTACTCCTCCAGCAGGCAAGGTTTTCCACGGTGGTGTAGAGCTAATGTTACCTTGACGAGAATCAACAGGAAAGAAGCGCCTTTCGGCGGTGGTTCCTAAGTCCTCTAGAATAACTTTCTCTTCGCACGCTTTGAAACATATCTTCTCCTCAACCGTCAAGCACGGACTCACATCCGTTTGTTTCGGTTCAATGCCACCAAGAGAAGTTCTACAATTGTAGCTGCTACCTCCATACATGTCACCCTGACCAATCTTCTGCTTCTTTCCAACATTTTGTCCATCTACTACCATATTATTAAGTCCATTCCATGGAATGTTCCGAGCTATCACATTTGAGGCTGGAGAGTCTCCATTCGAAAGTGCTATGTGGGGTCGTTTCCTCTCGGTAGACTGACAACGCTCAATCCCTCCGGGGTTCAAATCCCTCTCATGTTTATATTGATCCCTGCTTTTGTCATTTTCATCCGAAGCCCTATTATCTCTGAAACTTTCAGTGAAACTTTCAGTGACACTTTCAGTGACACCGACTCGTGCATCAATAATTTTCTCTTCAGAAACTATTCCTCTGACATCCAAATCTTCACTGGAATATGGAAGAACCTTCAAGGACGAAAGATCTTTCCTACCTATAGAGGTATCGTAATGCAATTGCCTCTTCTCACCTATATCGCTGTTTGCTCCAGCAGATTCTGAAGATGAATTCAGCTCTGCAGGCAGCCCGTGCACTGGGGGACTCTTTTCTTGCTGCAGAAAGAAACACAAACACACAATCAATACTAGATTTCATAGCCAAGAAAAATAGGGCAAAATTAGGGGGCAAAAACCACTCATTTGTGCGCAAACATTAACCCTGACTTCATACGTCTACATATGGTTCATACTTGTACATATATCAATGGTGTTAATAAATAAAATAAATAAAACAAGAATTACATTTTTTTTTCAGCCAACAAAAAAAATCAATTAGCTTTACCCTGTAAGTTCATGTTTTAATTCAGCGAGCTACAGACTACCAGAAAACCCATAACTAACCGAGGTTAGAATGGTTTAAGAAGCTTCATTAACCCCTAAGCTCAATGACTGTGGGTCAAGAATGTGACTATGGAAATCAAGTGTGTGGGGATTGACATTTGACAGTACATTATAACGTCGTGGGAAGGTATAGATCCAAAGGCAAACAACATACAACCTTCTTTCGTACAGAAGGGCGTTCTCCAGTCTATGGTTTAACAGTCTACCAGCAAAAACAACCACCAATTAAATTAGTGTCACATCTGATAACACAGATGTGATAGCACAAATGGAAGTAAATAAACTTCAATCTAATGACGAAAAAATTACTAGTCAATGGCCTAGATCATGGAAAAGATCATTGCCGTCTTTCAACTATGCCAAAAACAATCTACAGCTAGGCTAGGTTGGAACAGAAGGCAAAATCTTCACTCTAATAAAGTTTCACCGTTGAAAACAATATCCTAAGTAAGCCCCATACTTTGAACCCCAACATAAGCAAGTAGTAGAAGAGCAGAAAACATAACATAAGAAGAGAGCACGTGAAGAATATAAAGCACGCATACCTACAATGACATCCGCAAATACCAAACAACACAATTATTTCCTTTTCGTAGGAATAACCAGACATTTTAATTTCATCTCTATCAAGTAGTGTAAATTTGCAATGGCATCAAGGGCAAAAAAAAAAAAAAAAAAAAAAAAAAAAAAAAAAAACGAGATAAAAAATTTTTATTAAAGAAAAAGTGGGGAAAAACAATACAATAGAGGACTCCAAAATCCTCTACATTGGAAGGAAACTTACCAAAGAGGGGCTAGTGCATCTCATCTTTTCAGATAAGCTCATGTCGCTTGTGCATTTGGAGTTGCAACTACTATCATGCCACGCTGAGTTTGCTGTTAAACCAGGACGCAATGATTCAGAAAGTTTTTGGTCATTGCAATCTCCACTTATTCCGTCAAATTTCTGATCATCTGCACTCGGAGCTACAATTGCATTACATGATCTTTCATCATGAGACTCTGTGTCCAAACACTTGGCTGAACACAGGTTTTCCGACGTCATGACAGTATTAGAGGCATTCTTGTCCACAGACGTCATAATGTTACTGGGAATATGCAACTTCTTGAATGAATCAGAACAATGTGTCCTCCTCGCTCTGAACACACCCCATAAGAAGAACAACATATTCCAACCTGTCGATAGCAGCAAACAAGTTTTAGCTAATGAAACAATATCAGAATCACTATTAATTTGCATAAATTGGTTCAGCCATAAGCAAGGCTACACCAGAAAAAAAGTACTACCATTGTTCTATATTGAAGCATAGGAAGCCTAGAAGGACGACTAAAAAGATAGCCTCGTTGTGCAATCTACCCAATAATCTAAGATAAGATATTCCCCAACATAAATGACGAAGAAATAATGTAGTTAATCTCAGTAATTGTGACAATAAGCAAAGTATTAATCTCTGCCTTTGCCTCCAGCAACCGATCTCACTGCCACTACAGTCACAATCACGTAGGCCCAAGATGCATTGATATTTGGAAAGAATGTAACATTACATTAAGTTATGACAAATACGTTTTAACAAATTGAAGCACATTGAGAATTGCATTCTCATACACACATACATGAATATATGCACACAAGTATAGGTCAGAATTATATCAATATATTTTCTATTTTACGAATATTTACAAACATGATACATGCATTTATGCATCCGTATGAATCCATGAGTTGCTATAGTACATTTAAGAGATAACACAACAGAGCCTCGAATGTGTCCTTACGCTGGGAATTCTCTGGAAGCTGATTGGAAGGGAATATAAGAAGTTCAACACCCTCAATATTTCCTTTGAGAGCTAAATCATTCTTGATCATACCATCCAACAAGCTCTTATAATTTCTCTCATAACTGTACCACGTGCAGCAATTAAATTTATAGATCAAAATAAGGAACAATAAGAAATAAACATGAAAAGACGATAAGTTTTTATACCAAGACAAGTAAGGACACGCACATACCTCTCAAGATCTTTAGCAAAGAAGTAAAGAGCGATGTTATCTTCTTTGGCACCACCGTCACAAAACTGTGTGGGCCATGCACTCAAGCGAGGTACTTCGATCAGGGAAAGTTTGTGTGGAAATTTGCACACCACTTCAGGAACTCTTGGTGATGCACAAGTTGATAGATGCGCCTGAATCCCTGCACATAAATCGAAAAAGCTGCCACTTCTATGGACTTCAAAAGTACCCCTGCATGTACACGATAAAAATTATCAGGATTCAGGAAGACATCATCTAAATGCAACATATGGACAGCGAGGAAACAAATTAGTCCACAAGTACAGAGCAAGGAACAAAGGCACTACTAAAAAGCAACAAGGAGAACCCTACCGCCAGATGTATTCGTATTCCGGAATGGCTGACATCTTCAAAAGTTGAGGTGATGTGGCCAAAGCATGATTTATGAGATCTTTCACCACAGGTTTTACAGTGGAAGAAACTAATGCATCTAAGTCCCCCGTTTTTGAAGAAAACTTAGCATTGGTGGTGAATGCAGTATGTTGCATTGTGTTGTTGATGGTTGTATGCATGGAGTCCAAGGTGGATTGCGGCTCTTCATGTGTGACTTCAGAAGGCGAAATAATTTTTGACTTATTTGAAGCTTGGTCTAGGCAAGTTATTTCTGAACTCAAGTCTCTGCTTGATGTGGAAAACTCATCAGACTGATCAAGTGCTCTTTTCTTCCTCTGTATTTCAGGTTTTCTCAGCAAAGCTGCATGAATCGCATCTTTCAATTTACTGCCTCTGTGTGTCTCCTCCCTAGAACCTCTAGCAGCAGATGCATCAATACCAGATGTCTCTGAACTGCTGATCGTGCAAAAGTCAGCAGAGTGGCCGATTTCTTTACATTTTTGACAGAATGTACTTCTAGAACTAGTTGTAACAGTTGGCCTTGAGCGAGAAGAGCACTCCTTCATTTTCTCAGTCTGATGCATTATTTCTTGCCATCGAGTCCCATCTTGCATAGTTCCATCAATATTATTAGATGGTTTCTCGGTAGTGAAAGAATCAGTAGATAAGGCTTCATCTTTAAAGACAGCAGGATTTGACTTATGCTCAATAGCAGTGTTACACATTCCACTAGCCGATGAAACGCCAGCTGCAATATGCAAATACAAATACGAACATCACAAGTCTTCATTTAGGCAAAATTAAAATATAGAAAAGTAGCAATTTAACTCTTAACTATATAAAAACACATAGGTAGAACGGTGAACTTGAAGACAACAAATAGAACTTCACAGCTCCCGCCATCCTCGGAGATCATGTCATACCTGCAGTAATGGGAATTTCGACAGGTTTACGAGATAGGTTCACAGTTGATTTTGATGTGCTAGATTTTCCTTCAGATTGAACCTTTAATTCTCGGTTGTTGCTTACAAACGAACTGGATTCAACACGAGATGTTTGGTCAGCCTTAGGCGTCGAAACAGAAGAACTAGTTGTTGAATTAATTGGGGGGCGATCTAGCCTAGACAAACTTTTCCTCTCAAATGCCATCCGTTCTTTCGCTTGTTTTGATCCTTTTGTATCAATAGCGAGGGCCAACCTAGGCGAAAGCATTTTAACTTTTGAATCGGAGGAACTCGACCGACCTGAGTTTGCAGATTTAAAAGACATGGATTTTCCTATTATTCGCGCAGACTTATCCTTCCTGTCAAGAGATGTATACTCTTTACCTCCGTTTTGCTTTTGAGGAACAACTTCATCTACAAGTTTAACTTTTGGTTTAGAATTTGTGGCGCTAAAGGAATTTGACTTGAACAGTGTTCCTGCACACAGAAAACAATGACAATTATCCCCAAGAGGGAATGAGGAGACGCAACAGGGAAAAAAAAAGTACCCACAGAACAATATAACGAATAAGAGTAACTTGAACCCATCTCCATAAAAGTGACGGAAAGGAGAAGAAATTAACATAATAACAGAGATTTAAAATAAATAAATAAATAAACGAGTACAAACTGCGAAAGGCTATATATCCACCTTTGTTATGAAGCCGAGGACCGGCTACAGGGGAGCGTGCAGTTTCCATCATTTCATTTGTTGATTGGTTGCCTACAGATATTGGCTGTGCTGGCCTTGACCTCTCCTTATCTAAGTTCTTGAATGGTGACTCACGCGATAGTGCAGCCATTCTGATAGGACTGGATGACTTTGGTGATCCTATACTTGTTTCAAGAGACTGCCTTTTTGCAACAGGAGCCGCTTCTATATTTTCTGCGAGTCTCTTGGAGGATAATTGCGTGCTTAAACTGGCTTTACTCGTACTTTTTCCCTCCTTTTCTGAATTTCACATCCAAATTGACATCAGTAAGAGTGTATTCCTCTAAAGAAAAGCATGCTAAATCCACTATTCTGGAATTACCTTGCTTTTGGGTATTGATTTCTTCAGCAAACTTGCATTCCTCGCACATCCAGTTACGTCCAGGAACCTTCCTTAGCATCTTCCGCATGCAATAGCTAATAATAGCAAGGAATGATAATGTTTAAAAGCTCATCTTCAAAAGGAATTATCGTGGAAAACAAGTGACTAATAAAAACTGCCAACAAAAGATATGGATGAAAGACGGTTTAGTTTAAACTTACGTATGTTCTGCACCGTCACTGCACCTGCTACATGTAGCAAGCATATCCTCACGACCAGCATCCCCACAAATATCACACACTTTAACCTGCCTCATGAAAGGAAACCAGTATAATTAGTTTGAAACTACTCTATGAAACCCATATAAAAATCAATATAATGGTGGAACTACTCTATGAAACCCATATTATGGAGTGGACCAAACCAAACCAGTGAGACACGCCAATCAAACAATTTTCCTCTATCAACTTGTAGAATCACAAGTTCACAGTTCATACTCCATGTGTTGTTCTCACACGAACTGTATCATATACGTGCCTCTACTGAACGTGTATTCAAGAAAATCATGACTTGTTAAAAATTTTCAGGCTGGAACCTATCGAGACACTTAGAAGACAAAATATATAGAAAACACTCATGCACACGCATACCCACACAACATCAACAACAAGAACAAAAGTGCAACGAAAATAAACAAAAAAGAAAATTGAGCTGAAAAAGAAATGCAATTGCGATATCTTCATAAAATAGTAAAGCGCCACTACTTACATCATGTTCCACAATGTCTGATTCATCACTTTCATCCCCAGACATGGATTGCGAAGGAGGTTCTCGTACGTCAAACTTACTTGACTTCTCGTCTTGCTCAGCTTGACCAAAACATTTCGGAGTGCCACCAGTTGATCCCTGACCATCATTATTGACCTCTGCTTCTAGCTTTGGTGAAAATTTCATGGGCACATCAGAAGTACACGCAATAGATTTCTGGCAAGAAGCACCATCAACAGCTGCCACTTCTTTTGACGAGGCACCAATTTGTTCAGGAGAGCTTTCAAACAGTTTTTCCTGAATATAAAAAAGACCAATCCTCTTCAAAGTCAGTAAAACTTGCATTAAAAGAGCAAATTTACCACTTTAAGGATGTAGGTATGAACTTTGCACCTTAGGTGAGCTACTACTAGCATCTGCATCCTTTGAAGGCATATCACGTGCTATTGATTCATGTCCTTTTCTGGACTCTTCTGGACCTAAACTGCTAACTGAAGCTGAACTACATGACATATTTGTTCTGTCTATATTCCTGCTACTATTGCCGACTGCAACATTCGCATCATTGGCTCTACTAACACATGAAATGTCATCATCATGGACTTCTAAAACTTTGGAATCCTCGTGCTTATTAGGGGAACCTCCTTGATACAAATTACAGAGTGGTTTAGGGGAAGGTCCAACCTCTCCCGTAGTTCCACCAGACGACAAGGGTAGCAGCTGCATATCTAAAGCATCATTAGAAGATCTTAAGGAAGCTTTGCTATCTGCATTTTCAGATAGAGAATCATGATTGGAACTAACACTCATTATGTTACTTGTTTCACTGGCTGTATTCTGTAAACTTTCGCGTCGCTTGCTCTTAAAAGAAGACGAAGTATCACGGGCCCCATTGACAGAGTATTGACTAGCTGCATTTACCCGACAAGTTTCATCAGAAAATTCATCAGTCTTTGATGCCATGAGATCGTGGTTAAGATGCATACACGATGAACAGGGAGCAGCGCACACGTTACAACAAGCCCCAGATTCGCCTCTCATACGAACTTTATGATTCATGTAATATTTACTAAATTTGTTTTCAGATCGAGATGACACCTAACAAACCCAAAAGTACAAATTAAGAATTGAATGAATTTAAAAAAATTAAAAAGAATTAAAAAGAATAATGAACAATTGTAAAAGATAAGCACGCAAATCAATCAAACTTAGCAAGTAGCAAGTACATATGTGCCAAGGGGGGAAAAAAGGTAAAAGAATACATCTCCCACCACTGCCATATAGCAAGCTAGAAGTCTAGTCATCGCTTGCATAGTACCTACTACCTTAAGGCTGTATTTGGTACGATAGAGAATTCCGTCTTTCGATCTTTCCAACTTTGGAAAGATGAAAGTTAGAGTTGTTTGAGGAGGATTACAAAGCCCTAACTTAATCACTCCCCTCCTAAATGGTCTCCTACAAATTAGACATGAGTCTTAAAATCCAATCGACTAATGCTCTCATCCCTATTTTACTCCTCGCCGTTTGACATGGAATTTATCAGATAACTAGAAGAAATTCCATTTCCTATATCCCATCCCACGTACCATAATAAAAAAGCATAAGCCCTGGGAAATCAATGAAGAAGAAAAAGAATAGAATACGAACATGGAAGAAGAGTGTAAATTACCGTGTTAGGTTATCTCACCGTGTTGTTGTGAGAATGATGATCATCATGATCAGTGTCGTCGAATGGACCTTGCATGCTATAACTCCCTCTCAGGACTGGTGTGATCTAAAACGTTTGCACATCAAAATTCAGACATTAATCACAGACAGTTCCATTATTCATCAATTCTAAACCATTTTTATTTTATTAATATGCTTATGCTTAGCATCATAGTACCTAAACCCAGAAATAATCAGATCAAAATTTTTAATTTAATTTAATCAAGGAAAAGAAGAAGCCCTAATTAATTTGCAGGCACCAAGAGATGAAGGTGAAATAGTACGAGTACGATATAATTAAAAGAAAAAGAAAGAGGTACATCGGAGGGAGCAATGAAAGGTAAAAGGGGGAAAAACCCTAAAAAAAAAAAAAAAAAAAAATCAATTACATGCCTTCGGTTCCATAAGCATCTGAGTGGCTTCGTAGAGGTTGTGGAGAAGTCGTTCCTTGCGCTTGGGTATCATCGCGATCAGAAACCCTAAATTAATTGAATACAATAAATACCAATAGAATCTATTCTCAATTAGAGAAAGCGAGAGACAAAGAAGAAGACAACCACACGACCGTCTCTATGTGATACACCACAGAGGATCATTATCATCTCCCATTACAAACCAATCCCATACAAACAAATTAATTAATTCCTTTCCATCTGTAAGTACAGATATATCAATAGAAAAGAAAAGGAAAATGGAGAAGATTGAACAACAATAGTAAATATTAGCAATACGATACCTCTTAGAAAAAAAACTGTTTGTTTGTTTGTTTGTTTGTTTTGTCACAGAGTGGTTGTGTGTGTGTTTGTGATCTGAGACTGAGATTGAGACAAACTATTTGCAATCAAATCCAATTCATCCATACCCAGAGCTTTGCCTTCTCCTCCTCTTCGATTAATATGTATTAGAATTAATATCCTAAACTCCTAAATTTTATAAATAAAAATAAAAGGTCTAGATTGTCCTAACATAACAGCGAGAAAAAAGGAAATGGAGTAAATGAGTAAAATTTTGTAGATTTGGGGATATTAAAAAACTTTATTCTAAAATTATTCTAATTTATGTGGAATTTTTTTTTCCCTTTCAAACCCAAAGGGGCTGCTTTTATTTTTAAATTATTTTTATTTTGTTTTATTTCTTAAGGTTGTCGCGAAAGCTGCGCGGAGGGGGTTGCAATGCACACGAGGCACAGGCGGAGGCTGAGAGCCGATCACACGTGCGAGTCGGCCACCACATGCTATGAACAGGCGTGGGCCATGGCGCGGCCCAGGTTGCTCTAGCCCATTAAGACCCATGGTTGAGGGCCCATGATCCATAATTTATAATTGAAAACGAGAAACAACGCGCGCGTGGACAGTGTGCGGTGTGCCTCACCCTCACATTTCACATTTAACAAATCAACAATATAATGTTACAAAATTCCCTCTCAGTATCACCAAAATTTCTTAGGTCCTTCCCACGCAAATATATTATATTCAAATACTAATTGCAATTTATTTTGTTTTGTGTTCCTGGGACGTTTGTCCCTTTCTTTCTATTTCAAAAAATGAATCTCGTTTTTTTTTTATCACTTTATTATATTTATAATTTGAATTCTATTTTTGTTGATGAATTTCTGATAGAATTATTATTATTATTATTATTATATAATATATTATATAATTATGATATAAAATATAATAATGTTATTATAATGATTAATATTATTATATTATATATAAATAATACATTATGTAGTCGTGTGTAATACACTATAATATATAATAATATTAGAATTAAAATATTATAATAGATAAAATGCTAGCATCACTCTTTTTGTCACTCTCTATATTCACTATTTGATATATAGACTCACTAAAATGATATATTATTATTAAAACAGAAAATGAAATAGCGGAATCTACGTGTCAAACAGTGAAAACTGACTTAAAAAGGAAAAGAAAAATATTTTTTAAAAAAAGTACTACAAGAAAAAGAAAAGTGTGATAATGAGAAAAGGAAATTATAATTAAGAAAATAAAAATAAAAACTAAAATTAAATTCAATTTCTCTTATAAAAGAGAAAAAATAGAAAAATAAAAAATAAAAAACAAGAAAGGAGAAAGGGGGGGAGAAGCACGTGCAGCGTCACCAGGTAGCATTGAAGAACACAGGTATATACGTATAGAGAGAGAGAGAGAGAGAGAGAGAAAAAAAAAGAGAGAGAGAGAGAGAGAAAAAGACGTTATAGTTTGGTTGCTCCAATCCAACCCAGAGAGAGGAGAAATGACAGATGAGAAAGAAGAGAGAGAGAAGGGTCAAAAAGGAAGGAAATGATCAACCATACAAGGGAAAAATGTGGAAATCCAAAAGGAAAAATATCACGAAAATTGAGCAGAAAAGGAGAGTTTGTAATTGAATTGGCAAATTGGGAGGGAGAAAAGGATGAGAACAAAACGCCCCAACTAACCACTTTTGTTTCTCTCTCTCACTCTCTTACTCTTGTCTGTCTAAGCCAGTTTCTCTCTCTCTCTCTCATAGTGATATTGGCTTCGCTGGAGAAGATGAACGTCTTCTTCTCCTCAGTCGCACACACGTATGTGGCTATATATTGCATCCAGACACACACACATGCAAATAAGATTCTCTTTCTCTTCTTTCATTTCTCAAATGACCGTTTCTCTTCTCTAATTCTCTTCTCTTTGCTTTTGAGCTTTTTTTTTTTTTCCATTTCATTAACTTCTTTCTTATAAGAGAGAGAGAGAGAGAGAGAGCAAACACAAAGAAAGAAGAAAGAGCTTTTTAGAATTTTTATCCTCTCCTCCCTCGAGGTTAATTCAGGTATTCACTCTGACTCTGCTGCTTTTTATCTCATTCTTGTTTTTTCACTATCGTGTTTTTCTTTTCCTTTAACCTTGTTTTGCTCTTTCATTTTTCTTTTTGGGCGTGAATTCTATGGGCTTGTTTGTTTGCGTTTTCGTTTTCGTTTTTCATGATTTTCAAAATAAAAAAATGAAAACGGGTGTTAAAAACGTGTTTGGTGCAATTTTTTTTAAAAAACAAAACCAAAAACGTTTTTGTCTTTTTGTGAAAATCAGAAAACGAAAAAAAGGTGTTTTCATTTTCT